TAATATTACAACTTTATTCTCATATTACGACTTTATTCTCATAATATTATGACTTTATTTTCGTAATAAAAAAAATCTGTGTGGCCCTAATACTCTGTTGTAAATACTGGAGCTAAACCCAAATTATTAATGTTTATTTATTTATTTATTTATTTATTTACTTATTTATTTATTTATTTATTTACGTGTAAGGTTTTAACTGTGAAGTTATTCTTCCAGTATAAAGACGTGTAAACACATATTCCGACACATTTTAAGTCTGACATAAAACTGATCACTATGGTAACAGGGTCACGCAAAGTCACGTGAAGCTGACTTCAGGTGAAGGGTAGGCTGTCTCATTTCACAGCAGTTCTGAGCAGCCTACCCGGTCCAGCTAGCCTGGGTCCTCATGCATCCATCAGCTAGGACCCAGCCCATGAACTGAGACCCCACCTCTGTCCGGCTCCTGGACTTCCTGTCAGACCTACCTTCCTCCTGGTCTCCTCAGGCATGTAGTATCTGTTCCTCCTCTCCTCCTGCTCCTTGGCTCCGGCCTGTTTGTAGTCTTTGGCCAGGTCTCTGACGGTGCGTTTGTACTCCAGGCTCTTCTTCTCCCTCTCCGTCAGCTCGGCCGAGGAGAACAGGTACTCCTCGTCTAAGATCTCCGCCTCCAGGTCCTCCAGCTTCTCCGCCTCCCTCTTCTTCAGGTAGTCCCAGCGGGAGCGTTTCCTCAGCTCCGGCAGCTGCGAGCACAAACACACATCTTTGTCTGGTGAACTCCTCTCTGTTACTGCAGGAGGAGACGGTGAGGGAGACACCCACCATGTTCCTCTGGTCGTCCTCGGCCATCTTCAGACGTTTCTGAGCTTCTTCGTACGCCTGCAGACAAACACGCAGCAGCAGCTGGTGATGTTCCCGCCCCATGCCCGCCCCGCCTCACCTTCAGGAAGAAGATCTGACCTTTTTGTCCGTGCGCTCCGCGATGTTCCGCGTCTTGTCTTTGTCCTTCTGCCGGACCCTCTGAGCGAAGGCGTCCCTCTCCTCGATGTCCTGCAGGCGTTCTCGCTCCTCCTTCTCCCACTCCTCCTCCTCCTCCTCTTCTCTCTTCACAGACGTCTGAGCGTCTCGACCAGAATCTCCCCTGAAACGATGACGGATCGGACAGAAACTTACGAACCAGTAAACACATGAAGAAGTGATTTAACGCAGGCTGAGATAATGAACTGATTCTCTAAACAAGCCTGGATTTATTGAACCAGTTAACTCAGTGGTTAAAGTGGTCCTGCTCTACAGCTCTGCAGAATTCCTGTAAGACTTTTTAAGACCTATTTAATGCCACTTGAAACTTATTCTAAGACCAACTTCACAAGAACAATATTAAAAAAAGAATAAGATGAGCTGCATCAGGACAAAACCAGAAAAAAAAACTTGGCAACAATTTTACCCAAATGTTTACTTTATTAAAGCAAAATTTTATTAACTTGAACAAAATAACAATCAATTATTTTTAAAAACTAAATAAATGTTAACAATTATTTTAAATTTTGAGATGAATTACAATAATCCTGTTTAGCTACAACGTGTTTTTAAGACCTCTGAAAGATTGATTTAAGACATTTTAAGACTAATTAAGACTTTAATGTTGGATTGATCAATTCAACGCCTTTTAATGTTTTTAAGGATCTGCAGGAACCTGTAACATCCACTTTATTTTGATATTGTTGAAAATTTGAGAAATGTTTTATACATTCTTTTGTACTTCTGTTATGTTCATTTGTACTACAGTAAAAACACTGGGTTTGATTATTATTAGTTTTCTGCTAAATAAATGCTCTAAAAACGACATTATCTTTACTTTATGATAATTTTCTACCATGATATTGTTACTGTGAAGGGATTCAGTTTAAACAGTGATATGACTCTGAGGTCGTCCCGCCCAGCTCCAGGTGAGTTTTACCTTTTCGACGTCTCTTCCTCACTCGAAGACTCGCTGGCTTGTTTCTGCCGGATGTGTTTCTTCTTGTTTCCTCGCTCCTTGCCTTTGCTTTTCCTCTTTCCCTTCTGCTTCTCTCTGTCGGCCTCCTCGGCGCTGTCGCTGTCCTCCAGCAGCGTGTACGTGCGGTTCTTCCTCTCCATCTCCAGGGCCTGTCGCTCCAACGCTCTGGACGGCTTCTCCGCGGCCTGCTGGCGAGGAATCTGCGAGGCACGGCGGCGACAAGCGTCAGACACACGAGCGGCTCGACGCTTCGCGTGGGGAGGAGCCGTTCGATGGAAATTACCTTTTCAAAGAGCTCCTTGGCGAAGGCCGACACGCTCGGATCGATGTCGATCGTCCCCGTCTGCTCCAGACGACCCACCAAGTCCTCGGCGCTGGACGCTTTCCGAGCGATGCCGATCATGAACTGAGAGACGTACCTGTCGCTCAGACCCAGGATGTCGTGCAGACGGTCGCTCACCCACTGCTCCAGGTTGGCCATGGTGCCTGAGGAAACAGAGAAACTCACCTTTGTTTACCTGCCCGTAGCAAACAAACACAAACAAAGAGATGGAAATAATGAAAAAACCTGAGAGTTACTACAGTTCTGAGAATAACTCAATGAATTTACAACAATACTGAAATCAATTGTGTCTGAAGCACTGTTACTATATTTGTCATAGATAGATAGATAGATAGATAGATAGATAGATAGATAGATAGATAGATAGATCTTTATTGTCATTTTTGCACTGAAAGCAAATAATCAGAACATTAGAAAAGGTAAAATAAGAGGTAAAAATGAATAAAATAAGATAAAAATGTAAACAACAACCGTAGCAAATAAATCAGAACATTAAAAAATAGAATAAGAGGTATAAAAAGATTAAAAGTGAGATAAAATAAGATTTAAAAACGTAATACACTGTAATAAACTGCCTTTATGCACACCAGACAGTGTAATTAGTGGCATTATTGACTGAACTGTTTAAAAGTTTTTATAACTAAATAAAACTTTTCATGATAGCAGTCATGAGTCTGAACTTTCTGTGCATCTTCAGGTGATTTCAGCTCTTTTCTTGTATTAATTTATTATATTTAAGTTGTTCAGGATCAACTTCATGAAGTTTGACTTCATTTTTCTTCAATCTGAGGATCTTTAAAGACAAAACAAAGACATGAAGGCAGATCATTTTAAGAAACACGAGTTTTTGATCATCATTTATGATAATAAATTATCTGATTTATGCTTCTTGAAAAGTTTTCTTTCACAAATTAAACTTTTAAATTAAGTTTTTACCTCGTTTACAAACATTTATTTTTTCTGTTTATTTCTTAAGCTATTAACTCACATCACAGCAGAGTTAAACATACAAACAGATTTATCTAACCTGTTTAAATGAGTTTTACTTCATCATAAAACGTGAAACAGTAAAACTCACCGCTGCAGACAAACAGCTCAAACGTTGTTGTCGCGATAAAAGCAGCAGCTGAAAGTTAGAAATAAAAAGATAAAACGTTTTGTTGGTGAAGGTTTCCTCTAAGGACACCTAATGAAAACATACAGCCGCTAACAGCACAAAACATGACTCTGTTTAAGGGCTGACATCTTCAAAAATACAAACACTTTTACATTTTGTTAGCTTAGCTAGCACGCTGTGAAACCGGAAGTACGTCACGTAAAAACCAGCCGAAGAAGAGCTGGTGAAACGGAAGTGTGCTGCTCCCTGTGGCCACATGAAGAATTACAACAACTGTGGAAGTGAAATCTCTTCAAAAACAATGAAGTGGTCCAGTTGTCTTTAATTAAACTCACTGTTATCAAGTGAAAGACAAAATAAAAATATAATCAAAGCTGATAGAACTGATACAGATTCTATCAAAGACATGTCAACATTAAAAATTAAAATAAAAATAAAGAAACTGGACTTCAGTTACCTTTTCAATCACCTCATGGTTCTGTTTGAGTTTTTATTTTTTTATTCTGCTTTTTCTGTTCCTCACATCTTGAGTTCAGACATTTTTCAACTCATTCATCAGTTTTTACCAACAAGCAGCAGCAGCAGCTGCAGCTGTGGTCCTTATAGGTGCCAGAGTCAGGAAGGAAATCACACCCACAACTTTCATGTTTTCTGTCGTCACTCAGACTCACACAGAGGCTGACTGATCGGAGGAGCCGCAGTCTCCTCTGGACCGGACCAGAGCCCGTCTCCTCTGGACCGGACCGGTATCAGACCTGTGAGCAGGTGGAGATGACTGCAGGCCTGTCTGCGCAGCCGAAGCTGCAGCTGCTGCAGCTGCTGCAGCTGCTGCTGCTGGCTGCAGGATGCACCCACAGCTACAAACCTGTTGTCATCGTTCATGGGGTTCTGGACGGACCCAAACAGTTTCAGAACCTGACTTCATTCATTACAAAGGTAGGACCTCCCAGTGTTACATATGAACAAAATATCAAAATATGGTCTTTAAGCACATTTTACTGCTAACTGAGCATATTTATTCATTAGAAACAGGTTTAAATCATTTATTACAGCTTTCATAAAACATTCAAGACATTTTTTAGGTTTTAATTAGAAACATTTTATTTTTTAAGCAGAAAAACCTTTGTTTGTTCTGTTAAAATCATCTTGATCTGAACACAGAAAAAAAAAACAGGTAAGAAAAAAAACCTCTGAATCAATCCAAACTGAGCCCTCCGGAGTGGTCTCTCTGAGACTTTAGTTTTATTTTACTGTTTTTGTCCTTTGTCAAAACAGTTTTAATTCTGTGGAGTTTCTCTCCTCAGAGCGTTTGTAGAAAAATAAATTTAAAGTAAAGCAGTTGTGTGAGTTCTTTAACTTAAAAAAGGAAGTCTGTGCTGCAACACGTACAGATGCAGAAATAGAAGCGTTCAGCTGCATATTTGACCTGTTTTTTTATAAACGCGTCTCTTCTGCGTGAACATTATTAAAACTGACCTTAGCAGTGAGCTCAAACTGATTCAGGAGGAGTACACCAGGTCCTCACGGGTCCAAATGCAGGTTACAGGTGTGGGTTCGGGTTTAGGACCAAGGTTTAGGTCAGTTTTAGAGTATATGGTCAGGGTTAGGATATAAAGACTAAAAAACATGAATGGAAGTCAATGGAAGGTCCCCACAGGGTCAAGAAACAAACGTGTATGTGTGTGGGGGGTGGGGGGGAGCAGCGCAGCAGTCAGCTCTCTCCACCCGAGGCTGAAGGTCAACAGACGATCATGCTA